AAGGCCGGGGACATTATACTGAGTGTTGGATCCCTATTTTGATGTTTTGTTTATTTTTAAATAAATGTTGTTTTTCCTTACTTCCCCAAAACATAATTTAAATATTCCTTATCAATTTATTTTAAACTTTCCTTTTTCCTAATTGTAAACCCTTTAAATATTTCTTTATGTAATTTCAAATGTTCCCCTAAAATATCTGCTTCCCTTTCATCTAAACATTTTCCAATTCAAAACATTCCCCAAAACATTCCTTATCTAACCATTCCAACTTTAAACAAACCTTTACAACTGTCTGTTCATTTTTTATACTAAACTCCCGCCCTTTTCATAACCTATAAATACCCTTTTGTTTATCATTCATTTTTACGTTATATTGAACTAAACTTATTAATTAATTGAAGTAAATTTGTTGTTAGAAGATTGTTTGTTTATTGAATTAAATTAGGTTAAATTAGAGAAGCTTAGAACCTCAAACAAGAGTTTGAGAGACCAAATAATAAATAGTTAAATAAGTAAGAACCGGGACATAATAACTTATCAAATAGGAAAGAAATTATTTTACCAGCTTTTATTTAAACTTTATTAACACTCCACGATTCAATCTTGCATATCAAATACATTAGTACAATTTTATTTTGCAGGGAACATCTAGGTACTAGAATGTATTTTCTTTTAGAGCTTGGAGGAAAAACTTTAGAGGATTATTTTTATCAAAAAGTTCTTGTAAGACATGGAAATCTCAACAAAAGTAGTAAAAAGATGGAGCAACATCTTTTAACAAATATTCTTAAAGGGGCGACTCAAGCACTCCACCAATTCCATCAACGTGAGGCTGCTTAAAGCCTAAAAATTATTGAATAAATTTTAGATGGAATTCATTTTGATGTTAAAGAAAATAATTTTCTCATAGCTCTTGATGAAAATCAATCTGAACCCAATCCTGATCTAGAATCCAATGAAACAATTCCTTGCAAATTGATTGATTTTAATTTTTCAGTAATATCTGAAAGAGGACAATTTGTCCATACTGAGCAGATGCTAACTGGAATAAAAGCTCCTGAGCTACTAAATAATCTTCGTCCTGTAATTAAAATTATATAAATTTTCATGAAGAAAAAATTTATTATTCCATACATATCTAAACTTCCAAAACAAATAATCAGAGTCATAATTCTAACTCGTTTCATAGAATTAGCTTAATCCCAGGCCTTTCTGGACTGAGGACCAGATTACAATTTAGCCGCTCCCACACCTCCCAACCCCCTCCACTATCTATTTAGTGCCACACATTAACACTATGGAGAAGTGCCAAATGACTTTTTCAAACAATTTGGATGTTTAATATTTTTTATTTAATATATATTTTTAGCCGACAGACAAAGCAGACGTTTGGTCATTTGGATTGATGGCTTTCAGACTATTCCATAAAGAATATTATTGTAACTTTTTTTAATTTGAAAATCTTCCTAAAATATATGTTATAGTAAGGATGACATATGAAGATTTAATGAATAATATATTACATCCGTACATAGAAAATTCAAACTATAATGGGCATTTGGATCAACTTATAAAGGTAAAATAAAAATTTTTATTGAATTTTGCCGTTCAAATTTTTTTAATCAATTCAAAATTAATGCAAGTTAATAATTAATTGAACATTTGAAAGACAAACTTCCTCAAGAATACTTAATATCTAAAAAATGCAAAGCTCTTTAAATCTCATGACAGATTGGTTTTTGACTTTAATATTCATAAAATATTAATACAAAATATTTTTTTATTGTTTCTCATTTATTGTTTTCACGAAATAGTTTTCCTAAATATTTGTTTTTCCTATAAACTACTTTCATCAAAAGATAAATACAATTATATAAAATTTATGATAAACAATAATATAATTTCAGGCATGCATTCGTGGAGATCCAGATCATCGCCCAACAATGAATGATGTTTTTAATTTTTTGAATGGAGAAATAGGACATCTTTAAATGATGCAATTTCGGTGTAGATTTGACAAAATAGTTTTGCCTAAGCCCACCCCTAATATAGCCTTATATTTTTTCCTTTTTACTGCAAATCATTTATTTCTCTCGAACTTTATAAGGAAAACGCAAATTAGAAGGAGCTATTCAATTTACAATTTCAAATTCCATGTTATTTTTTGTTAAAAAAATAACGGTACTTGTGAGTTATCCCAAACCAGTTTTTGCGGACGTATTTTGCGGACTCTTTTGTATACACAGAATGGTCAGTCTTCCTCCTTTCCTCAGTTTCACTCTATTTCACTATGGCATTATTTAATGAGAGGCAAAAAAGAAAGGATTATTTTTAAATATAAATGACCGATTTTTAAATCATGTTTGCCTCTTATTGAATAATGCCTGTGTTCGTGTCCGGACAATGCGTCAGTGGACAATGCGTCAGTGGACGCATTGTCCACTGACGCATTGTCCGGGAGCCCCTGTGTTAATAGAGGCAATAAAGAGAGGCAACAAAAAAAAAGGATTATTTTTCTGCAATGCCATCAAATATGAAAATAACAGATCAATCTTTTCATTTTTATTTACATATTTCAGTCATTTAGAAATATTTTTCTAGGATGATAAGCACCAAACTTCGCATTTTTAACTAATGGTCCGTTACTTTGTGTACGTACCCTAACAGTCTTACCAAATTAACCAAACACGGCCCAGAACAGCTTCATATTTTTGACAAATCTAACCAATTATGGTATCAATCCAGCTCAAAATAGTCAAGGATTCCGTAAAAAAGTGGTGGGGATATACTACTATTACAGAAAAGATGCACTGAAGGCACAGATCGATCCACATTTTGTTTATTCAGTATTTTGGTCGTTCCATGATTTGGTAAGACTGTTATTTGTCACGGTTTTTGTGGACGTATTTTGCGGACTCTTTTGTATGCACAGAATGGTCAGTCTTCCTCCTTTCTTCAATTTCACTCTATTTCACTATGGCATTATTCAATAAGAGGCAAACATGATTTAAAAATCGGTCATTTATATTTAAAAATAATCCTTTCTTTATTGCCTCTCATTAAATAATGCTATAGTGAAATAGAGTGAAATTGAGGAAAGGAGGAAGACTGACCATTCTGTGTATACAAGAGTCCGCAAAATATGTCCGCAAAAACTGGTTTGGGACAACTCACAAGTACCAAAATAACTTTTTAAATACGACACAAGATTTATTCTTGAATAAAAATTTCGACAAATATGTGGAAAGTATACAGTGCGATTTTCGGATTCTAAAAAGTGTGAAGCTAATTTATACACATCGCGCAGGAATAAGACACAAAGCAATATGTATACGTAAAAAATATTTTAGTGAATACATGAATAAATTTGTGCTAAGACGCCACGCAATGATTTTACAACAAAAATCGGTACTATATGGATGTCACCCCCCTCCTATTTCGAGTCTCAAAGTTTTCCTTAAACGTAGAAAATGGTCAGAGATTATTTTCTTCTTCATGTCAATCATTTTTTTTTCTTCAAGTATTTTGTTTTTTTCTACATTTACCAAATTTCACTTATGTTGCTCGAAGAAAGAAAAATGATTGAATAGAAAATAAAATAATCTCTGACCATTTTCTACGTTTAAGGCAAACTCTGAGACTCAAAATAGGAGGGGGTGACATATCCATAAAGTACCCAAAAATTTTTTGATAAAATTTTGAATGGAATTGCAGATTATATGCCTATTTTATCATTTTGCCTTTTTTAACATATCTTTTCCTTATAATCTTGTGGGAAATAAATAACGCCTGTTCGGTACTTGTCTCTCTTATGCTTATATGTTAAGCTACATACTCTTTCGTCTGCGGATATGCAAAATACCGATAAATATTGATAGGAAATGCACAGCGTTATAAATAACACCAAAAAATCAATGCGGTAAAATGCGCAGTTTTCTTCTCTCTATAACGCTGTGCATTCCTACCGGTATTTTTCGGTATTGTGCATAGACGCAGACGAGAGAGTATGTAGCTTAACATATAAGCATAAGAGAGACAAAATACGAACGGGCTTTTTTTGAATAACATTAGTTTCTATACTATGTATATCTAGTTGAAAGACTCTCCCAATATTAAACATATCCTCAGTTTTCGCTTCCGGGTTTTTATAAAAATTAGTGTAAAATCCAATAAATATCGAGATATTTAAACACTAGTGGCTTAAAACGAGTGATGTTGAGGGATTTTTAGAAGGGTATAATTGGATTTAGAGGGATATTGAGGTGGTAATTGGCTTTTAAATGATTAATGGTATATCGCTGGTGGCAAATCGATAGTCACTCTTCGGCATCTCGACCAAATTACCTGAATTTCCTTTAAAATGTTCCATAAAATTCTCTCGATATCCCTCAACAATTAAACCCTGGCCTATTTTATTTTATTTAAAAAATTTTTTATTTTGTTTCGAGTCCACAAGTAACGGCCACATTTTATGTAGCTGTACCATATTTTTGTCTTAGCAAACAATTCCCTGGCGAATTATGAAATATTAAAATATACTTCTTCCCAGAATGAGTTTATGCAAGTTACGTGATAAATTTTACATAGTAAAAACATTTACGAATTTAAAAATAATATGAAAATAATATTTTAGTTCAAATTATAAAAAGATTGCTCCACAACATTTTAAATATTTTTTTCTTAATTATTGGATAGCTTTTAAAGTGATCGTAATTTTATAAATAATTTTTGGATAAACTGTTAAGGAAAATTTAAGTTAGTTGTGTAGCAATAGTATAATAAAAATATGATAACAAATATACAATAGTGAGCAAAATTATGGGCATTTTGCTCCGTTTAGTTTTTGAAAAATTAATTTTACCAAAAAAAAATTTTTTAGACAAAAAATCCTCAAAAAATGCCAAATTGCACAAATTTTAGAAAAATAAGCAAAATAGGATGGGTGTCGGAAATCGGAAGAGCCGGGCATCGGAACTGGCTCAAAAGTCGGAATGCGCAAATTAAATTTTTTTTCGGAAATCGGAAAGAAAAAAAACGTCGGAAATGGAATTCCGGCCCAACTCTGCTGTAGTGAGACAATATAAGAATGAGGAAATATGGATGAAATCAAAAATTACACCCACAAAAAAAAAGAAAATGTAGCACAAATATAAAATATAGGAAAATAATGTTGGATATAAAATGTTGGACAAATCAAAAGTTGGAACACACATCAAGGAAACAATAAAAAAATGTTGGAATGTTGAAAATGTTGTTATAAGATGTTGGAAAAATATTGGATATAAAATAAAAATAAAAAAAGTTGGATATAAATGTTGGACAAATTTTAATTTCGGACAAATAATAAAATATCGGACAAATCAAAAGTTGGAACACTTACAACGAAACAACCCCACTCACAATTGCGAAGTGATTTCCGTTTTCTTGCAAAATGACTTTTGGCCGAGTTATGGCCATTCGAATTTGGAACGCTATAACTTGAATTATAGAGCAAATGAGCAAATTCTCTCTTTTCATCCTCAAAAAACCCGCCTGCCTACTTTCTTTTTGTTCATAATGTCTGAAATTTTTCTATTATTTCTCCATGCCTTATACTCAATCGCTCCCAACGGCTGAAAATTTGAATGAACATAACTCGGCCCAAAGTGACTAAAAAATGAGGTAAGTTTCCCTCTTAACGGGTAAATTTACCTTCAACGGTGGAAGTTTTCGTCTGGAGACGAAAATTCCTAGCGGAGACAAAAATTCCGTTTATTTCCTTGGTGACGAATATTCCGCTGGAGACGAAAATTCCGAAAATGTTGTATACAAAAGTTCCGAAAAGTCTTGGAGACGAAAGTTCCAGAGACGAAATTTCGTACACCCCGCCCCCACACCTAGTTTAGTCTCAGATTAATTTTCCTTTTTATTTTTCCTTCCTCGGAATGGTCAGTTTCTTGTTTATAAATGCTAAATTTTTCCGTTAGGCCAATTTTTGCGCTTGCCGTAAATTTTCCCTTTCTAATACTTGCCTTTTACTTGTAATGTTTGAAGGAAAAATGATTGACAGGAAAGAAAAGAAAAATTAATTTTAGACTCAAATAGGGGTCGGGGTGGGATATTAATAATTTTTAACTCCTTCAACATAATCCACAGAAAAACCGATTTCTAAGCTTTTGACGACGTTCAACTTTTTTACGTTTCTTTTCTTCAAGTCGTTCCTTTTCAAGTCGTTCCTTTTCAATTCTTTCATTTTCCAAACGTTCCATTTCATGTAGTTCATATTCAAAATATTCAATTTCTCCGTTTAGAAATTGAATAATTTCTTCCATTGTAGGGCGATCATTTGGCTTATGTTGAACGCAAGCCTTAAATTAATTTCTAAAATAACATTTCACAAAATTGATACTTCAAATATTATGGTGAAATCACCCAAATCTTATCACCCCACATGTACGCAATTGTTTGTGCACAAACTTTTCTTCTCCTATTCCTTTTTTATCTTTACCTATTTCCTTCTCCTTTCTTTTTCTAATAGAAAGATTAGAAGTGATAAAGTTAATAAATATCACGAGTTATTTTAATTCAAATAAAGCCGCAATATTACAAATGCGTCATTTTTATGATGTGTTTTAAATATTTGTTTTGAGTTTTAAAATTTTTGTGTTTAAAAAATTTGTATTTTAATATTTTTTCAAAAACGTGTTCAATCAGTTGATTTTGGTGTCATACGACTCAGAACGTTGAGCTCGTTCGAATCAGCTTTTATTTTCATATTTAAATTTTATACCCCAAAATGGCACTTTGGTTTAAGACCAATTCGAGTCCCCCTTTCTACGGGAAAAAAGGTGTACCGTTTGACTCAGCACCCTTTATTAATCTTTGTTAATTTAGGGGGGAGGTGTGGCAGAACGGAACAGTACCTTAAATTTAAAAACAATTTTTAAACAACATAAAAATGACGCATTTGTAATATGACTGCTTTATGTAAATTAAATTAATTCGTGATATTTATTATTTTGATTCTTTCTATTAGAGTGGGACAAAACCGCTTAGCTAAACGGTAAACGAAACACGGTAGACGGGTTTTAGGTAAAATTAAACGGAAAGGTATACTGTCTCAGATAAACAGCATAAACGATATACGGTCCTTCTAAACGGCGTTTAAATCGTTTAACTTTTTCCTAGAATTAGTGGCTTAAACGTGATTTTTTGCCTTCAGACACGCTAAAATCAAAAATTTTTGCCAGCAGCGCAAAAAAGGGAAGAAATCTGCTTGAAGGCCTCCATATTTATAAAAATTTTCGCCTGAGGCGCTGAAAGGAAAAGCCTGATTATCCTTTCAAATAACAATTTACCTTCAAATCCCTCAATCTCTCTGAATCACATTATATCCACCCTAATCCTTTGATATCACTCAAGTCCCTCAATCATTTTAAATCCCATTACATCGCCATAATCCTTAGATTTTTCTTTTGAAAAATGAAAGGAGAAGGAAAAATGTAAAGAGAATAACGAATAGGAGAACAAAACTTTGAGCACAAACATTTGCGGACATGTGGGGAGATAAGACTAGAGTACCATTAATTTTAGTAATTTTAACATTTTGAGGACAAATATAAAAAAATTTTTGAATTTATTTAAAGAAGATATTGTTAAATTTGTTTTATTAAGTGGTAAATCGAGTGAATAAGTATTTGGATAAAGATATCGAAATATTTCAAGTCTTAAAGGCGAACTATTGCCCCGAAAAAATACAAATATTAAGTTCTATACATGTCCATGAGAGACTTAAAGAACGGGGTAGTTATTTAAGGATTAATTAGCATTTACAATTTAGAATATATTTATTACCTTTATAACACGATCCAATCGGGTATTATAATCAGTACTTGAGCGATATCTTTTCATCGTGGGATAAACATCCGAAACGTACTTTGCTGTTAATTATATACATTAGTTTTGTTTATTAGTGGAAATTCTCAGTGAGAGATTAAAAAAGTCATTCCAGGAGAGATATAAGCCACCCATTACTATGCTTAGATTACCACAAAATATTCTTGTGACGATAATAATACCCAAGTTGGTACATAAATAATATATCTTCTAATATAATACTTACACCATTTTTTATTGAAGAGTTCGTAAACCATCAAACCAAAAGCCCAAATGTCGGCTTTTTGAGAGATCTTAATGTGCTTGGTAAAACACTATTTATTCAAACTTTTGTATTTTATTGGATATTTAAATAAATTTGGTACTTGTGAGTTATCCCAAACCAGTTTTTGCGGACATATTTTGCGGACTCTTGTATACACAGAATGGTCAGTCTTCCTCCTTTCCTCAATTTCACTCTATTTCACTATAGCATTATTTAATGAGAGGCAATAAAGAAAGGATTATTTTTAAATATAAATGACCGATTTTTAAATCATGTTTGCCTCTTATTGAATAATGCCATAGTGAAATAGAGTGAAATTGAAGAAAGGAGGAAGACTGACCATTCTGTGCATACAAAAGAGTCCGCAAAATACGTCCACAAAAACCGTGACAAATAACAGTCTTACCAAATCATGGAACGACCAAAATACTGAATAAACAAAATGTGGATCGATCTGTGCCTTCAGTGCATCTTTTCTGTAATAGTAGTATATCCCCACCACTTTTTTACGGAATCCTTGACTATTTTGAGCTGGATTGATACCATAATTGGTTAGATTTGTCAAAAATATGAAGCTGTTCTGGGCCGTGTTTGGTTAATTTGGTAAGACTGTTAGGGTACGTACACAAAGTAACGGACCATTAGTTAAAAATGCGAAGTTTGGTGCTTATCATCCTAGAAAAATATTTCTAAATGACTGAAATATGTAAATAAAAATGAAAAGGAACTTATATGGTTTGGGTACTCTTTTTTAGCCACGCCTTTTTTTCCTTTTCTTTTACTCTTTTTCCCGTTCAACCATCAATCAATTGAGTTGAGGTCAATTTTTTGTTTAAAATAAAGAGAGAAATAGAGCTGCCTCAGACGACTCATCGAGCTGTGCTGAGACGTATGGCACTAAACTCGGTCCGTGAGTCTCTGAGCTGAATTACAGGGGTCCAAAAATTTCTAAAAGGGGTAAAACGGTCCTATTGCCATTTAAATAATTAAAATAGATAAAAATAAGAATTTTTATTCAAATGTTAATTCTATTTTGGTGAAATGGAAAGGAAAATTAATCTTTTCCTTGTTAATGTCTCTCACTGAAAATGGCACAGGAAAAGTTAAGTAAAATCGAGGAAGAAAGAAAGGCTGACCATTCTGTCCATATTAAGGTTGATTCATGAAGGAAAAGGAAAAAAGGGCGTGGCTAAAAAAAGAGTACCCAAACCATATAAGTTCCAATGAAAAGATTGATCTGTTATTTTCATATTTGATGGCATTGCAGAAAAATAATCCTTTTTTTTTGTTGCCTCTCTTTATTGCCTCTATTAACACAGGGGCTCCCGGACAATGCGTCAGTGGACAATGCGTCCACTGACGCATTGTCCACTGACGCATTGTCCGGACACGAACACAGGCATTATTCAATAAGAGGCAAACATGATTTAAAAATCGGTCATTTATATTTAAAAATAATCCTTTCTTTTTTGCCTCTCATTAAATAATGCCATAGTGAAATAGAGTGAAACTGAGGAAAGGAGGAAGACTGACCATTCTGTGTATACAAAAGAGTCCGCAAAATACGTCCGCAAAAACTGGTTTGGGATAACTCACAAGTACCATAGATTTATTAAAAAATGTTAGTTTTCTAAATAATAAAAATTTATCAAAAATTTTTTGGTTCAATAAATGTTTTTACTTTAAAGATATATTTTGACCCTACTTAGTTTAAGCTTGCAAGAAATTACGAAAATTCGAGATAAAGAATTATTTACATTTTAATTTTAGTTATCAATTTACAACCTGATTTGTACCACATATCTCTGGAGATTTGCTATATTTAGCAAAATTCATCATATTTCCTATAGGATACTGCCCATTCACTACAGCAGTATTGAAATCTATCAATTTACAATCAATCACATTTTCATCTGAACTTTTTTTATTTGAAACAATAAAATTTTCATATTTAATATCTCCATGAATTCCACCTACTATTAAATACATAGTATATTTCCAAAATTAATAAGCTATTCTTACATTTATGAAATTGTTCGAGTGATTTAGCAGCTCCTCTAATAATTTTAATGAGAAAATCTTCGTATATTCTTCCCTCTTCTATATTACCTCCTTCATCATTTATTATCTTATTAAAATAATCTAGCAAATCCATCCCACCAAGTTCTAAAACTGTAAACATCTTGTTGTTTTTCTTTTCACTTTAGAAATTATAATTACACGTAAAATTAATTATACTTATTTGATTTATTCGATTTGAGCGTTTTGTAATTTATGCGAATATAAAAAAACAAAAAAAGGGTCAACCTAACATCGACTCGTCATGATTACTTCCTTAGAATGAGCCAATATCACGCCAATCCCAGCGCGGCAGGCGAAAATTTTGAGAATTTTTTTGAGAAATTTTATTAATCCGTTCCGAAAATAACCTTCTTAATAAGCGATAATTTCTCGTTTCAGAGCCGCAGGCGAAAATTTTGTAATTACTTTCTTAGAATGAGCCAGCCTATTTGAGAA